AGCCAAAGATGTTAGAATTGTGTCGATGTCCCAATATTTCTGGACCTGACTGTATGTGAATGATAATAGTTGTTACAGTCATTGACCAGCATTTTGTTCAATTACTGTAAAAACTTACAAGGTTCAAATTAAAAAGCATAAACCTTTCTAAACTCAACATTTTTAATCAACGTTTTTAAAACATTTTAAAATCAGCTTCCATCAGAGTCTTTCTCTAAGGAATGGAATCAAAGGATGATTCTAAATCAATGAAAGTAGCATATAGGGGAGCAGGAATAAGCAGCCATGTGTTTCGGTACTAGAAACTCTAAATTGCACATTGATCCATCATTGACCTGCCTTCTCTGAAGCCTGCTTGTTTGTCTGTCAGCTAGAAATTTCTCCTGTTCTAGCTAATTAAGAAGCTTATAAAACATAAAGCATACATATAATTTACTGGGAATGTTTAAGAGATTAATTGGATGATAACTGGAGAAATTATCATGCTAGGGCTTTTCTGGAAAAGTGGGACACTGGTGGAGTGTTTCTAGTCTTTAGCATTGGAATGTGTTACTAATAGGTGTAAACAGAGGGGCTAAAGGGAGAGGGTATATGAATACACTTGTAAACTTAACATACAAATTATAAACATCCATATCAATATTTATTCCTAAAAAGTTATATGTGAAGATGGAAGTAATGTCAAGACTTTCCTTGTTTTTGTTTATTGTACCTTCAAGTCACTGTTGACTCCTGGCAACTGTCTGGACTAGTCCCTGCAGTTTTCTTGGCAAGGTTTTTGGAAGTGGTTTGTCATTGCTTGCTTCAGAGGGACTGGCCCAAGGTTACCCATCTGGCTTTGTGCCTCAGACAGGACTAGAACTCACTGTCTCCTGTTTTCTAGCCTGATGCCTTCAACTACTACACCAAACTGGCTCTCTTGCTTGTTTAATATGGCTAAAAAATTGAGTCTGCATTTGAATAAAACGATTTTTAACTTTTTTTCCCTGACCGTTGCCATTGTACTAATTTTTCGGCTGACATTATTTTCCCCACTTTTAAATAACAAGGATGGGAAGCAGTACTAATGTTCTTAGGTCTGGGGAAATGCTTTTCAAAGTATTCAGAACCCAGCTTTCTAGCTATTTGAGTACACATTGGCCTTTGACTTAAGGCACATTAGCTACATCTTTCAGTTGCCAGAGCCACTGAGAGGTGAGGCCAGATATTTGCTGTTCTGGTGTGTTTAAGGGCCCAAGCTTCATGGGTCTGTGGTTTCAAAGTGTTGACTAATAAGAAGCCATTTGGTAACAGTGTGATAATCCTGTGCAAGTGCTAAATGCAGCATTGTGCACAAGCAGCTGCTGATGTTGTCACTGAATGTCACCAAAAGGGCCATGACTTTGATAGAGGAGAAGATATTGAGTATCTGACAAAACCCTAATTTTTGGTAGGATGCAACACTTTATTTAAAGCATTTGGTAAATTAACTCCATGCTGAAAGGCCTGAAAAAATGGAATACATCTTTTGTTTTCCAAAAAAGCCTCTCATCCAGCTTTGTACACAATGGTATAACAGTGGCAACTAGTCAGCACTTTCATCGTTTGACCATGGGTTCTTAGGAAGATAATTTAACCACTAGATAATTTTCTGGTTTGTTTCCTACATGTGACATCAGATATACAGAGAGCGTTCTTGCAACAGCAATAGCCAGTTTACCCAAAAAGGCTGGTTTCATTTATCCTCCTGACTTGATAAAGCTGAGGATAGTGCTCAAGAAGAAGAGAAAAGAGTAGAAAAGTAGGGCCTGCCTAACCATACCTATTCATGTCTCCAGAGTTTGTTCTATACTGTATTGCTGGAGGGAGCAACATGCATTAAAACCCAGTAGCAACTAGTAAATAATTAGCTTAGCTAGGCTGCATTGATTTTATTTGGAGTGGCATTGACTGTATGTTATTTGGCATCCTGTGTGTAACTGTTGCCTTCTCTTGTTTTTTCTATATTCCTTTCCCCAGTAAGCTCTTTTTTATATAGAGAGATTTTGTTTCACTGGTTTAATAAGGGAATTTCCCATTAAAAACATTCCCCATGTGCAAGACTGCATGGTTACACAGCTATCTCTTGAGATTTAGGTATTTATTTATTTATTATTTAGCCCAAGGTTTGTTAGTTTGTTTAACAAATCATTCCTTGGAAGAAGGGCTAAGAATTTCCTTGCTAGACAGGCTAGGGTGTGTCAGAAGCTTCAGCCTATTGGAGTTTTCTTTTATTATGAAACCCCTGGAAGAGAGGGTCTAACAGGCAGCTTTTGAATGATCACCCTCCCATCTTTTACACTCCCTTGTGATCTCTAAGGAAGTGATATCTAGCTGCATGAGGACAGCCACTTGGAAAAGTGGTGAATGTCTCTAATGTTAATGAAAAATGACTAATGCCAATATTCTTGAAGCACAATGCAGATGTAGACTCTGCAAAAAATGCTAGTAATTATATACTGCTGTGCCTTGCAGGCCATATTGGTATGCAGATCCATTATATTGGCTAAGAATTCTGAGAGTAGTAGTTCAGCACATCAGAGCAGCAGGTTGGGGAAGTCTGCTCTAGGCAGATTCCTTCCATGTATTTCAAATGCATTTTGTATGCAGTTTGCTAATTGTCAATAGCTTCAGTTTGTTCCCCTCAGTGATGCTTTTTAAATTGGCGAAGGCACCATCTGTCCCTGGGAAAAGGATGACTCCCTTTAAACAAACTCTGTGTACTGCCCCCATCCCAGTTATGGCTGGAAAGATTCTTTGTCTTTTCTCATTGTTGGGTTGGTTGGTACTTGTTCCATTTGATTATTTTGGGGAAAGGGCAGACTGTAATGCCCTTTTTCTGTTCCATCAAAAGAGCCCCCAAGCCAAAATCCTCACAAACCAAAGTGTGGACGAGAATCTCCGCTCCTCTTTGGGGCTTAATGGTCTGGGCTCTGATAACAATTCAGCACTGGGGAAACATTTCCACACTAGTAAACCTTTTAGATCAGAAACCTGCTGTCCTGATCTCAATCCGTTTGAGGCTTTCCTCTCTCCTTTCTGCCTTTAGCCATTGATAATGCACCAGAAGCAACCCATTTCCAGCTTGCTGTCCTCTTTTCCCTCATTTAAATGCTCGATTAAGCTTTCAAGCTCTTTAAATTTTAATTAGAGTCAAATGCCAACTCTTACGTACATCAGGGCCATCATGGAAATGCTGTCCTCAGCCAGTGATTAGTGTAAAAGAAGAAATACTTATGTCAGAGCCCTGCAGGGTAAGCACAGGTTTCCACAGTAACAGTTGGTCTTTGGGCTCCAGGGAATAGATGTCAAGAGAACCAGGGAGGACTCTGGTCTCCAAGGCTAGGCACCGGAGGGGGAACTGCTGTTCCATAGCCTTTCTGTACCTGTGCTTCATAGATGGCTCTATCTCACATGATCATGATGATGATGATGATGATGATGATCATCATCATCATCATCATCATCTTTTCTCAGAGAGTGCTTGAAATTATGAACAAATAAAATTGCTTTAGATTATAGATTTCCCCCAGTGGGATTTCTGAACTCTTGAGGAGGCTCATGAATGAGATTGGGGGTACTTCATTTATTTATTTATTAAATTTGTATGCTGCCCATCTCCCCCAGAGGGTGACTCTGGGTGGCTCACAATTAGAGTAAAACCCAAAAACAATTTAAAAAATTAATACCCACATTAATTAATTAAAAAGTCAGACTATATAAAAAAAAAACCTATACATAAAAAGACTAAAAACATTCATGTTGACTGGGGGGGAGGGTAGAATCAATTACCCCACAAGCTT